CAGCCGATCAGTACGAGNAATTTCGGACCAGGCTTTCATTTAGCCTCTTGACAACAATACTACGTAAATATGCGTCAGTGTCGCCGTGTGCTGCCTGTCCATGATTAGTCTGTGGCCGTGTTAGTCCGGGATCCCCCCATAGTGTGTTGGCCCCCAACAAGCCTACTTCATCTTTATCATGAGCGTCCAACATCGGTGATTCGACGTTGGATTCTACGTTCGATTACAATTCGAGCTACTGTTACGTGATACAAGTTACGGTACTTGTAACTAGATGCTCCACTAAGCCTTGCTACGGGCGACGCAGCGTGTTGTAAAACTGTTCAGTGATAAGTTAATTTTTACACTATAAATTGGTTATCACACCCAATGTTCGCCGTATTTATGGCGTTTTCGAAACTAGTGTAAAATACGCAGTGTCAGTCAACAGATTTGTCACTATAAGGTACTCGCGGTTGATGTGTTCATAATTTCACCACTTTTACTTTAGTAACCATTGCGCAAGCGATATTATGCACACAAAACTTAATACCGTCTTGGCTATAAGTAGTTAAGATGATATCGCTTATTGATTAACTCAGCGCTCTAATACGGTTTAGAAACAAGTTCTTGTAGGCTGACTGTCGTCAACTTTGCATAATCAATGGCTATAATTATTCCTTATTAACGTGATCATATTATATCAGCAAACATCGAACCTAAACTTTAACGGGCCCGCGAAACGACAAATGTGCTGAACGGCAGCTCGCTTCGGAAAGCGGCCGGAGAAATCGCGAGACGTCGTCGACAACGCAGTAAACAAATAAAAGAACTCGCTGCCGCTCGCTAGCCCCCCCCAGGTGCGTGCTGCGTCGCACTGCCAGTATGGCGGTCATTGCTGTGGGCGGGACGTATACATCTCATAGATGTGTATATATAACACTAACATTGTAATATGTCGCGCTTCGCGGCCGGTGCGAGCTCCGGGTCCCCGCTGCGTCGGCGTCACACTGTAGTCAGACAAGTAACTGTCGCCGACGCGCGCCCGCCGGCCCGTTCACTTTATCAATGAATCGTAAAAATACTAAAATACATGTATACGCCCATAAAAACGCCTGCCAATGTCATCGTTAGAGAAGGGCTCCGCGGCACGCCCTACTGTGACGGCGTCGCGCGCCCCGGTCAGGCTTGACGACCTCTTCCAGCTCAGCCGTCGGATATCTGAGGGTGTGGGAGCACTAGCTTGTACGGCTTCCTCACCGGTCAAAGTGCACAAAGATTCTGTGGTGACACGAGAGACGGATGGAGACAGAGAGAAATATAATAACTTATTGGAGCGTTGAGGATATATTACCTCTCACAACCTATACGTGATAGTGGCGGAGTAAAAGACCTTAATGACGGGGGAGAGACGAGAGAATGGATACAAGATCACCAATCAGAACAATGAGAGAGGGATAGAAAGAGAGAGAGAGAGAATGGAAGAGAGAGCACGTCACGAGGAGAGAGAGAGAGAGAGAGAGTGAGCGAGAGGAGAGAGAGAGCGAGACGAGAGGAGAGGAGGAGAGAGAGAGAAGGGAGCGAGAGGGAGAGAGAGAGAGACAGAGAGAGAGACAGGAGGTACTGTTATTACCTCGCCTAACGGAGTTGGACGGAGAGTTATGTATTCCGCTCTCGTGCTGTTCGTGGCCGTAGGTAGCCAAGTTGGATCTTCAAAAGAACAGTCAGGCGTTAATAATTTCAACTGCTCAGTTGTGGGGGGGATGATTTCGCTGTGTATTTCCATCATAAATGTATAGTGAAGGGAGGTGTGCCGCGAGTGAGCGCACGCCGCGCAGCGGCTGGCGCAAAGCCCGTTAATGGGTGGGGTCCAGGGCGCCGCGCTAGGCGGCCCGGCGCGGGGTGGCAGGGCAGAGCGCCTTTGCCCGGGGCGGGAAATTTTTCATACGTCTTGCGACAACGCCAAGTGTCCAGGTATATCACTAATCCGGGTGTGCGCAGAACGACACATTGTATTGCGAGGGTAAAGGATACGTCACCGGACTAATGGATCACAGGGGGCGGTAGCCCCGCAGCATTATGTTCTGCTTGATATGTTTAGCTCAATCTTAGTAACCTTAATGATGAGTCGTTTGTTCCTGAGGTAATGTAAAAAATTGATATTGTAAGCGGCAATTTTGTGAATTGCGAATAATTTTTTTCTTTGGCAGCCACGAGGTTTAATTAACCACGGCACCCCCCCCCCCACAACCCGGAACAGTGCGATCCAGATAAGTGAATTCTAGGCTCGGAGGGGGATGGCGCGAAGTCATGCGAGCTCTGAGGGCAACGAAGCGCGCACTGGTGTGAATTGTTAAAAAGTGGAATCATAATAAGCAGAATCAATTTGGAAATCGTTATCATAGAATATCGCAGAGCATTTCTACCTCCTTTAGGGGAGTGTCCCCCTCCTGTTTTAAGTGTGGGGGGTGAGGGCGCGTCCAGGCGGGAAATATCTCCCCGAAGTAATGTTTGTTATGAAAGTTTTACAACACCTCTTTCTATTTGGTGACTATTTCCTGCACTTTAGAGGCAGCACATGAATTATTATAACATACTTCATTCTAGCAATACTCACATACAGACTGTTGAGTTGGAGTATTTTTGTGTTATCCTTTCACGGGGACACAAAGGACTAAAATGGCTTGCCTGACTACCAAGTATCTGTGTCTAGTCATGAGTGCGAACATGTTTTCTCTAGCAATTGGGGGTGTCCAGTGCATCGATATCTTTACGCACCCTAGGCTTTAACGATATACCCTCCTCTACGCCCGTGCAAACATCTTAGTGGGGGCCGGAACGGATCTCCAGCCCCTGTGCTACGACCCTCCGTTTAGATAGTATTCAACATAGCACTGGAAGATCATCTCCTCGCTCGAAATTTGGATAAAGAGAACGTATATTGTTACTGATAGAGGTCGAGAGACCTGTAAAGAAACTGCTAGAAAAGAGATTATTCGGAGTGAAAAACAAGCCAGATTTTAACAGTAACGGTAGATAAGTGCATATTTTCCCCCTTATACAAAATCGTGGATACTAACTTGTCGCGCTTCGGCGGTTCTCTCAGCTCCCCCATCCCCCTTAACCCTCCATATTATAGAAGTGAACACTCAAGAATTGAGTGTTTCACCATTCAAGCCCTTGTGAAATACGTAAAAACGCTATCCCAGACTCTCAATAGTCTTTATCTCCACGTTCTGCTAATTTTGAAATAAATGCAAGCGGATTTACTTTCGTGAGCAGTGAGAAGACGCTGATTTTGGGGATATTTGGAATAAAGATAAATATGTAAATATAGTGGCGCGAATGCGTCCAAAATAAAACCGACTGGAGTTTTCAGTAAAATGAATGTCATTCTATGCTGATATACCGATTACAGCCATTTTACCAGTCAGATGTATGTCAACAGCTCCGATTGTCCTCGTTAATAAGTGCATTAGGGAGAAGTAAAATTTACATTCAACGCTCAGACCGGATGTCGTAGAGGAAATATTCAAGTACTAGTTATTGTCTGTTAAAAATATATTTAAATTTTGCCATAGTCTTTCCTGAAAAGCGCTAGAGGGATGATAGCAAATGTTTGTTTCTTTAGCTTCTAAGCGCACCACACATCAATAAGTGTGGGATATACCCCAGCCCTCGGTGATAATCTTACTGGCAAGCCCTAGCTATCGGGATACGCGTTGCTGTCCATCTTTCTCTACCTAGTGTATCTATTCTGCTCTCCGTTCCCAGTGTACATTAGCTTGTAGGGAAGGAAATGAATGGCGGGACTGCTGCGGAGCCGAAGTGAATTTGTAGATCGGAGTTTACTCATTGGATTGTCGCGTCGGTGGCATAGGCCTGCCTTTGAGCGTGAGATCGGCTCGCCTTGCGCTAAAATCATCTTCTTGGCAAAGGCGCCAGCGAGCGCGGGGCCTCCTCGTTACATGAAGGGGGTCAGATGAATTCAAATTTGACTGTTGAACTTAATGCATACGAATGATTCATAATCATAATCTTTGTTAGCTCAGTACTCATGAGGGAGCGCAGGCGCCGCTGGAACGATTTTTGGACAGTGGCGGGTGTTTAAATGTTGTTATGCTCGACAGTGGCCAATGCAGGATTTCGAGGAGTGGTAAGAACAGTGCGGCGGTATGCGGGTCCTCCCAGAAAATCTTTGAATGCCCTCTATTTTCCAATACTCCTGAAATTAGCGGGGTCGGAGATTTCATATGTTATCCACCGCCATCCCTCCTACTTGTCTCATATAATATTTGATTAGTTGGGGTAGCGAGATGCTACATTTTATGTTTTTTCTCCCCCATCCCCCCGACGTATGCTCAACGCCCAATCGCCCTGTGCTCTGCTAAGCGACTTCAATATTAGCCGCTGTCGATGTTCAGCGTAGCCAGTTCAACGCCTCCAGCACGCAGCTCCGAGCCAAGCCGAGGCAGTGATCATCGAAATGATTGTGATTTATGCGAGCAGTCATTAGCGCCAGACGAGGCGGCTGCGTTCACGCTGATACGAAAGCAAGCATAGCCTCAATGTCAACGCACATGCATTATCATTATCACGACGCTCGTAACATAACCGCCGGTGCTAGACGATTCTGAGGGCGTATATCGTGGTTATTCGTGTGTTCGCGAGTCCTATGGCGTATGCCGCGTATGACGCTGGCGGAGTATGGCAACTCTCCGCGTGTAGGCACTTTTGTCTAGTTATATAAGCGAGCCGTGCGTATAAAGCAATAAATCATTCAACCAACTGGTAATCAATCACAAATTAACGAATGCCGAATAAGACATACAATTCATCAATCTGTTAATCGATCTATCAATCGATCAATCATTTAATCAACGAGAAACCCACCGACCTCCACTTCGCATCAAGGAGAGGGTCGCTGTCGCGTCAAATCACTGATCGAGTAATCCTTACGTGTTTGATAAATCCAATCGAAATACAATCAATCTAACTCCGCATTCGCTCAATCGACGTACCCGAGCGCACTTCGTACTTCTGTGGACACGTCTCGCCGTATTTTGTATCATTCTCACAATACCATTTACTTCCTCTCAGTGCGAAGCTGTTGTCCTTCCTTCGCTCCCGTTCCTCCTTCGTGCTCCGCATCTCTCCATCAAGATGCTGCTGCCTCAACCTCCGGAAGTCCTGATCCGAAGGCGTGAAGCTCTCCTCACTCGTGTCGAAGAAACCTGCATGAGGAAGGAGGAGTAGATGCAGGAGGAAGGAGGAGTAGATGCATGAGGAAGAGGAGGAGGGAGGAGGGAGGAGGAGGAGGAGGAGGAGGAGGAGGAGGAGGAGGAGGAGGAGGAAAAGGAGAAAGAGGAGGAAGAGAAGGAGGGTTAGAGATGTTTTTTTCTTGCTAATGTACAATTAGAGATTCAATAGGGGAGTCACAATACGATTTAATTCGCGAGATATGGTAACATTATGATTACGTATCATGAATAAGTATCAGTTTATTAATTGGGCTACCGTGGCGCCCCCTCTGGCTACCGTGGCGACCCCTCTGGCTACCGTGGCCCCCTCTGGCTACCGTGGCTCCCCTCTGGCTACCGTGGCCCCCTCTGGCTACCGTGGCGCCCCCTCTGGCTACCGTGGCCCCCTCTGGCTACCGTGGCCCCCTCTGGCTACCGTGGCGCCCCCTGCAGCTTCTCACCCTTGGCCGGTCGCTTCTCAAACGGAATCTCGGCGTTGTAGTCTACGCCGCGACGGCGGCGCCTCCTGGCGGGTGCGTCGATGCCGGCCATGCGCAGCTCTCGGCGTTTCTGGAGCGCGGCGAGGCGCCGGGCTTCCTCCAGCTGCTTCTCCCTTGCCTTTCTCTTCGCCTTCTTGCCCTGCGTGTTCGCGAGGCGAGCGCGAGCCTCCGACAACATCTCCAGCTCTGCGGGGGAGGGAGGGTTGTTAATTAATTAATTAATATTATTACAATATTTATGCATCATACATATATGTATATATATTATATATATATATATATATATATATATATATATANGCACGAACGTCCGCCCCCGAGTCAGACGGGGACCGGACAGTGGGTCTATCAACCCAATCACGGAGCGGCAGAATCAAGCCCGGCTCCTCGGCTACCAGCAGACCGGACGCCACCGACATCTGAGTGGGCAGCGATCAGCACGCCGGCTCCGCAGCGAAGGGAACGCCTGAAGGTACGAATCTACAACGGCAAGGGGGACGTACCGCTGGAAGCGTTCCTCGGCCAGTTCGACGTCGTGGCACACCACAACGGATGGGACCACAGTGAGAGGGCTGCGCAGCTAGCCGGCGCCCTCGACTATCCAGCGTCGGCGGTATTATTTGATTGCAGTCCCGGGGCCACCGAGGAGGACATCAGGGAAGCACTACAGGAACGTCTGCAGCCGCTGGGATCGGAGTTGGAGCGTCACCTCCGGTTGGATGAGCGGAGGAAGCGTCATGGAGAGACATGGTCGGAATTCGCCAGGGAGCTCACCATGCTAGTCAGCCGGGCCGAGGTAGGCATAAGCCGGAGGGCGTGCAGCCGTCGGGCCCGTTGGCATCTCCTCCGTTCGGTCACCGACGGGGCCCAAAAGGTTTATA